TTGGCTTCAGAATGTAAAAGAGCCAGCACAAGGTGGGGGCCCAGAAGAGGAGACCTTGGCCCTTTTGGAGGCGGCTGGAGGGTGCCCAGCACCCCAGGTGTCCCGCCCTTCTGAGCTCAGTTGTATAAATATTCCGGGAAGTGGCTTTCACCTGTCATGCCCAGCTGAGACAGGTGACACTTTGTCGACGGTGGAGGTGATTAGAACCATGAGCTGTTGGCAGAGAGAGCTGGATTTATTGCGGCTGGCGCAGAGCTGCTGCTATCTCCGTTTTTAAAAAGCTACCTGTGAAGTATCTGTGCCGCCCCATATCAGAAGCACGTTTATTTTACTGGGAAAAGGGTGATCATGTTAATTCAATCACGGTGAGGCTCAGGAGGACAGGAGTCTCTTTCTATTACTTTAACTAGCCATGTAGAGCAATAAGGATGTCAGGGCTTGTCAGAGATGATGGCTGATGACACGGCGTCATCCCTTGTACGGCTGTAAAGGCGGCTTCCTCCTGGCAAAGGCTGGACTGGCTGTTTTGGGGCTTGAAGTCAGTCCTGCTGACGGTAGGTGACATTTCATGCACTCACACACTTCCAAAGTCCTACTGTGACTTCCAGAGAAGAAACCTTGCAGCCAGTTTATTCCTTGTAGCTGATGAATACAGTTGCTGCTTTGGATATCTCGCTCACATAGCAATTTTTTTATTGCTCTGCTTTGGATATCTCACTTGTATTGCAATGAAAATGATGGCAAGAGGCTACTTGGGTCGATGGAATAAAGCAGCATTAGTGTGGAGACCCTACGGCTTTAAAGGACCAAGGGGGCAACCACCTATGTGGTGGGTGGACAATCTAAAACTAACAGCTGGTCTTATGTGGGTACAGACCAGAAAGCAATTGAGAGAACTTGGAAGAGGCGTATATCCCCTGTAAAGAGAGAGGAAAGGGAGCAGTTTTATCGTGGAAGGGAAGTGCAACACAGTTCTTTCTAGAATCACAGAGATGGGGTGCTGAAGGCAGCCATCTCGTCCCACCCCTGGCTGCTGCAAGCGGGAGGTTGCTCACCCCGCAGAGCTCCACAGATGCAGGGGCACTGCTTTGAGTCAACAGGGGCTGTTGTGCATAGAGCTGTACGTCCAGATGATGCAAACAGAGTAAAGCAAAGCAACATTCTGCAGGGATCAGCAATCATACGAAAGCTGGTCTGACCTGGGAGACGCTTCCTTCTTTACCCCAGTATTTGACAGTGTTCAAGGCAGTGGATGCTGGAGGAGACTCTTGAGAGTACCATGGACTGCAAGTAGATCAAACCTATCCATTCTGAAGGAAATCAGCCCTGAGTGCTCACTGGAAGGACAGATCCTGAAGCTGAGGCTCCAATACTTTGGCCACCTCATGAGAAGAGAAGACTCCCTGGAAAAGACACTGATGCTGGGAAAGATGGAGGGCACAAGGAGAAGGGGACGACAGAGGACGAGATGGTGGGACAGTGTTCTCGAAGCTACCAGCATGAGTTTGACCAAACTGCGGGAGGCAGTGGAAGACAGGAGGGCCTGGCGTGCTCTGGTCCATGGGGTCACGAAGAGTCGAACACGACTAAATGACTAAACAACAACAACAAGGCAGTGGATGTATACAAAGCCCCTCCTATCAAACCATGCCACATTTTTGCTACGGAGCAGGACCCCATGCCAAGTGGCACACGGCATCCTCTTCTTCATCCCTCTTGATGACTTTAAAAGAGGAATAGAAAAATTCATATTGCTGGCTGCTATCCATGAGTTGGAGGCAGTGATGCATCTGAATACCAGTTGCTGGAAACCACGGGAGAAGAGAGGAGAGGGTTCTGGACTGGGTGGCTCTGCTTATGGAAGGAGGGAAGGAGCCAGACTCTGAGAGCTGCCCGTTGCTGTATTTTTTATTTAAACAAGAGTACATTATTGTGAAATTTGTTGTCATTATATTAATTCTTAACAATTGCAATGCCTTTCTGCACTACGGCAGCCAACAGCAAAATTATCAAGTACAAAATCAATACAAATACGACAAGCAAACGAAGGCTAGGAGGAATTAGAACAGTAGGTTGAAAATGGGAGCAGCTATAAACAAAAATGCCACTTTAACAAGCGGCTGCCAACAAAGCTAAGAACCAGACTCCCTTTAAGAACATGCCCCTCCCCAACCCTCCCCCACAATGCGGAGAGATGGGTTTTGAAAGGGATCAGACAGAAACCCAAGGAGGATCGGATCCAGCCATGGGTGGGTCTGTGGGGCTTCCATGTTCAGAGGCAGTATACCTGTGAGTAGCAGGCAAACCAGCTTGGCAGGGGGTGCTGAGGAGTCTTGCCTTTGTGGTGGCCTGTATCCCATGTGCTTCCAGCTGGCCACTGCCTGGGACCGAGGCGGCTGGACTTGCTGGACCTTTGGGCTGACACCTTCTCCCGCATTTGTATGCTGCCTCCTAAGACAGATTGGCGCTCCTCCTGCCGCCCCTCCCAACTTTGTATAGGGGATTTGACAAAGTAGCATCACAGCTGCAACCCCCCCCTGCCCCCCCCGTCAGCCTCTCTCTCTTTTGCACATTTTCCTCAAACCCCCCCCCCTGCCCTGCAGTTATTAACAAGCCAAAGCCATCCGGCAGAGCCGCATACATCCATAATCCCTTCCCTCAGCCCTCCGTATTGACAGTTATCTGGAATCTGAAGGAATTCAAGACAAATGATTAAGAGGATGGACTTAATAAAATTTGAAAAATTGAGACCTGTCAGTCCGCTAAACTTTTTTCAATACCACCGACAGGAACATATTTCCCCAATGAGTGACCTTCTGCAGCTGCTCGGGTCCTGCGCTGCTGGGGTGGCGTTGGGAGCGAGCCGGCCTGCTATTTATCAAATATTATAAGCCGGGGCCTACTAATAATATGAGCCGAGCTGGGGAGGGCAAAGGCAGGCAGGCAGGAGGAGCCTGGGGCGTTGCCCAGGTGTTGGTTCTCTGCCAGAGACAGCGAGTGGGAGGTGACAAATTGCATCCCATATCGGCTCTGGGAGGCTGGTGCCCTCTCAGCAGGCGTATGCCCTGTGGTGGCACGGAGCGCAGTCCCTGCTCCTTGGGGCCAGCTGCCCCGACTCTGCAGAGGGGCCGAGGTCAGGCCAGGGCTCTGGGGGGGAAAGCCAGTGGCCACCCTCTGCAACGACAGCGATGATGGGTTAGCAAGTGTCTTGACACCCCAGTTATTTATTGAAGCATAATATTTTATTGCCGCTGGTACCGGAGGTGGCCATCGACCGCTTGTGTGAGCCTGGTTCTATCAATTATTGCAGCAATTAGTCAAGTCGTCAAAGCCATTAACAGGGGGATTAGGCCAATATTGGTTAGCCATTATTAATAGATCAACGGGAGGAAATTTAGGGTCTTCCGTGAGGAAGGCAGAGCTGTCCTGGAGGATGCTTCCTTGGAGGGGCCCGAGGAAACTTCCTCCTCCTCTTCCAGAAGAGCGCAAAACTGTTGTGCAAGAGAAAGAATTGTGCGTTAGATGTGGGTCACTGTCTCTTTAAAAGATATTGAGTGCCCAGGGCAGGCCATATATAATCTCACCTGTTCTGATCATACTTTTTATTGGGCGCGACAAGGCTCACAACAGAAATTACTCTGCGATGGATGCTTATGGAGCACATTTTTCATTCTGCAAGCAAATATAGATCCCTATATGCCAGATGTTGGAAATAGCTAATCTCCCTCTCCTGGGTTCGTAGCAACAGATCAGCCAGTGCCAACAACGCTGTGACAAGGCGACAAGCAGAACACTGTTTCCGGGGTTTGGAAATTGCACTGCAGGCACCAGGATTCTACCGCGGAGCTGCCTGTTGCTTCTCTCAAAGCCCATTTGTGTGGTGTGCGCATAGGCAGCTGCCTTAAAGCAGCTCAGAACCTTAGTCCACTGAGGCTGGCATGGTCTTTTCAGGCTGGAGGTCTCTAGCCGAGAGAAGCCCCCCTGCCATCTCTCTTGCTCAAGATCCTTTTAGCTAGAGATTGAACTTCTAACTGCTTGATTCTGAACCTGGGACATGGTGAGCAGAGCAATCTCCCTGCCACTGAGTACAATTTCCACTCACCCCGGGGTCTTAGTGGACACCGTCTCTAAGGAAGAGTTATTTCCCCTTCCCTGCAACCAATTGTTATCTGATGCCCTTCTTCATGTTCCCCTTCCATGGGAGCTCCAGAGGGTGGAGACAAAAGAACGTGCCTTTTCGGTGGTGGCTCCCTGCTTCTGCTGTCTCTGGGGCGGCTCGCCTGCCTGGCAGCAGGCAAAAACATTGCATTTTAACCAGGCCTTTGGCTTTTTACTATAGCCTTTTAGAGTGATCTTTTTCTTTGTAAGTTGCTTTGAGATACTGTGGCCAAAAACAGATAGGTAGCCGTGTTGGTCTGCCATAGTCAAAACAAAACAAAATTCCTTCCAGTAGCACCTTAAAGACCAACTAAGTTAGTTCTTGGTATGAGCTTTCATGTGCATGCACACTTCTTCAGATACACAGAAGTTTGCACGAGGGCCCTGAACGGAGAGAGCAAAGAGTGGTGAAGGGGCACAGTCACTTTCACCCCTCCTCTTCTTGCCATCTTTCATTGTCATGTTGGATATTAGCAGCCCACAGCAGGGCAGTGTCCCACAGCAGAGGCCATTAAGCAAGAGCACCACGCCTATTTGCGGCCACTCCAGCAGGGCTGTTGGAGTTCTGTCGGCCCTTGGCGGGAGAGCGGACAGCTTGCTTCTCCAGTGGGGTGTTACATTTGCCCCTGAGTTCTGCAGCTTCCTTTTGCCTAGGCCTCTTGTTCTGGTGACACATCCCTTTTGCTGTGTCCTTTGACATCCATACGTGTCGCCGCTGGTGGCACATTGTCCCTTTTCCGATCGGAGCAAAGGTTAAAGAGGACCCCGGATAGCTCAGAGGCTGTAAGCTGCCCGTCATCTGACTCCATCCCACATGTTGAGCTCTGTCTTTTCCCTTCCAGGTGCCAACCCCCTGCAGAGAAATGAAATGGGGCACACGGCCGTGGATTACGCACGGGAGGGGGAGGTCATGAAGCTCTTGAAAGCGTCCGCAACAAAGGTGAGGATTCAAAGACTTGGCTCTCATGGGTTTCTCCCTCCCTCCCTCCCTTTTAGTGCCAAAATCTAGGGGTGGCATAGAAACTGTGCCAGGGTCTTGGCCTCAGAGAGAATGTTGTGAATTCGCTCTGTGCTCAGCCGGGGATCAAATCATATTCAGGGAATGGTTTCTGCTGTTAATAAATCCCACCGAAGCATTTCAGGTCACCTCCTATGTATGCCTGCCTTCCTGTTCCACCTTTCGGAGAGGTGGGCAGCAAATAAAGGGGTCCGTTGCCCTGCTGTGCCAATTTTCTGAAATTTGGGGGGTGGATTCAGGGGCAACGCAAGTAGATGCTGTGCCCGCGCATGCAATTTGAATGCGACCGTGGCTCTTGGGACAAAGGTTCCGGGATCCGATGGTGCTGCTTTGGACGCCAACAGCTCCCCTGTTGCTTCTGCAAGAGGCTGGATGTGAATGGGAAGGGTGGCAAACAACTGTGCTTGGTGCCACCTTGCTGGCAGTGCGTCCTGTTGTGCTGCCCTCAGCAGAGAGATGGAGTAGAAAATAACTAAACTTCATTATGCCAACACTCCTCCTGTTGGTAAGTGCTACGGGTGAAGAGGGGAATAAACATAAGAATAGCCTGCTGGATCAGGGCCAGTGGCCCCTTCTAGCCCATACCACAGCCAGATGCCTGTGGGAAACCCATAAGCAGGATTTGAACACAAGAGCAACTCTCGCCTCCTGTGATTTCTAGCAACTGGGATTCAGAAGAATCTCTGCCTCCAACTGCAGAGACAGAACATAGCCATCCGTCATGGCTGGTAGCCATCGAGAGCCCTCCCCCGTGACTTTGTCTAGTGGTCTAGCTTGGTGGCCATCACTGCCTCCTGCAGCAGAGAGTCCCACAGTTTAAGTGCAACATGAAGAAGGACTTCCTTCTATATGAATCTTCCAACAAGAGGAGGGCCTTTGTGCCATTGCATAAAGGAATGGCACTTGTCTCCATGCATCTCAGGGGGCTTCAGAAGGATGAGGAATTGGATGGGTCACAGCAGTTCTGAGCCTGGTCTTTTGTAGCCCTCTGGAAATTGGGCCCCCAGACAGTAGCTTCCCTTTTATTCCCTCCTCTTCTTCCTGTCCTCACCCTGCTACCAAGAGTCAGGCCCCTCTGTCGCTGTGCCCCATTCCCAGCCCAAATGTGCAATGGCAGGCTCTTGCTGTCGCCTTCTTCTTCTTTGGCGATCCCTCGTAGCCAAGTAAGATTGTCTTCCATAAACACAGGTTTTAACCATGAGTCCGTAAGTGACTGTGGAGGCCAATTCTGGATCCGCACGTCCTTCCACAGTGCGGACATAGGTTTCTGGGCAGGAGTTGATCACAGTGAGGGTTTGCCAAATGTGTTGCTGTCACCACAACCATAGGGGCTCTTTCGCTTCCAGCAACGGTCACTCACTCCAATGTTAATATGCTTTTGCACTGCACAAGGTGGCAGCTTCCAGGGCTAGGACAGAGGAGCTTGTCCATGCGAGTTCTGCCAAGCGTGTGGCAACCCACCCCCTCGCAAGAGATGGATGCTGTTGGGAATGAGCTGTTGCTGGAGGGAAGCCATTTGAAATTTTTATAAAGGAAATGTCAGGAGTTGCATGCTTAAATCTCAGCAAGGAGAAGGGAGAGAGAGAGAGTATCATGCTAACTTTAATGGGTCTCTGGAGCCTTCCTCCATGAAGCAGAGCTGCCCTTTAACTAACTTTTTCTCCACAAAGCCTTTGGATGATGAGGGGGAGACGCACAGATCTGCGCAGAGATGGGTCTTGCTGAAGGAGGCGGCAGCGGGTGCATAAAAATCTCGTGCTCTTTGGGGCTGCTTGGTGATGAATGTGCAGCTGAGGGGGATGTGGTGGCAGAGGGGTTGCCAGTCCTGCTTCCCAGCCCCGCCGAGAGTCTTTGAGAATTTATTGCTCATTTTGATCACTGCTGCGGAATGAATTGGTGGCACTATTAACGGGACAGACACATCCCATCGATTTTATTTACATATGCTGGTGACAAGAGCAACAAGGAGTCTTCCTATGTGAAATCAATTTGTTTTTAGGGAAAAGTCTCCTGATCCAAATGGCCTGCTTCTCGTGAATCAGAGCCACCAGGTCAAGGCTGGAGTGGGTCAGCTAGCAGTTAGGTTGGCTGTTGGGCCTTCCTCCACCCTCTCTCCCAGTTTCCACCACCAGCTGGAAGCTGTTAGCAAGCCTGCCCTCGAAGGGCATGGGTGCTCAGTGGGCGCACCCCACTGGCGCACTCCCCATTGCAAAAGTAGGTTCCCAAATACTTTTGCGAAAAGGCTTCCCTCCTAATCGCCAAAGCCTCTTCTCTCTGCAAATCTTCCCGTAATTGGAGCTGTGACTGGGAGGGGTGCCAACGTCTTTAATGAGCAATAAAAGGAAAAGAACACAATTACCTGGCTCTAAGAAGGATCCCGCTGTTGACATCTCAAGGTGAGGCCTCCTGGCAGAACACATGGAGCATATCTCCAGTTGTAATACTTGGACTGGCATTCTGGTAAACTCAGGAGTTTGATGGGACAGGTTGGTCCCACCTGTTGCACAGTGCAAGGAAGCTGTCTTATATCTGCTTCCTTGGAAGGTTCAGGATGGAGAAAAGAACTTCACACAGCGCACAATTAGACTATGGAACTCACTCCCACTGGGGCCAGTGATGGCCACCAACTTGGATGCCTTTAAAAGAAGCTTAGGCAGAATCATGGAGGAGGAGGAGAGGGCTACCTGTGGCTATTACCCATACTGGCTATGCTCTGCCTCTACAGCTGGAGGTAGCTTCTGAATGTTCGGGTCCTGCTTGCAGGGGGCAAATGGTTGGCCACTGTGAGCAGGTGGCCCCTGCTCTAAATTTGTGGCCGCTTTGCAGTGGGCCTGTGTTATTGTTCTAATGTGTGTGTGTGTGTAAAATATGTACATGCATATAATATTTCTTACTTCAGACGTTTTTACACCACTTAGCTACATCTCTTACTTACTCACATCTCTCAGCATGTACATGAAACAAGCCACATAAAATGAAACAATAAAACCATACAATTCTTTGTCATAATACTGAACCCTTCCTAAAAATGCTTGCTGGAACAAGAACATCTTCGTCTTGCTGAAGTTCAGCCAAGAAGGTGCATTTCTAAGCTCAGTTGGGAGGGAGTTCCACAGGTCTGGACCCAGGACACTAGTTAAGAGCTGTGCCCATGGGGGACAACTCCCCACAAGATCTCAGTGATTAGGCCGGGATATAATACAATTCAGTGGTACTATGGGTTACATATGCTTCAGGTTACATACGCTTCAGGTTACAGACTCCGCTAACCCAGATATATTACCTCGGGTTAAGAACTTTGCTTCAAGATGAGAACAGAAATCGTGCAGCGCAGCAGCAGTGGGAGGCCCCATTAGCTAAAGTGGTGCTTCAGGTTAAGAACAGTTTCAGGTTAAGAACAGACCTGCAGAACGAATTAATTTCTTAACCGAGGTACCACTGTACTTCATTGTTTACTGTGCACCACTTTGTACACCTTGAATGGAAAAGAGGCATTTACATTTAAAGAAATTAAATACAGTGGTACCTCTAGTTTCAAACTTAATTCATTCCAGAGATCCATTCTTAACCTGAAACTGTTCTTAACCAGAGGTGTACTTTCACTAATGGGGCCTCTTGTTGCCGCTGCGCCACTGGAACATGATTTCTGTTCTCATCCTGGGGCAAAGTTCTCAACTCGAGGTAATTCTTCCAGGTTAGCGGAGTTTGTAACCTGAAGCGTTTGTAACCTGAGGTGTTTGTAACTCGAGGTACCACTGTAATAGCCCATGCCTATGCAAATTTACTTACAGGTAAGGCACACTGGAGCTTACACCCAGGTAAATGTGCCTAGGATTTCAGCCAAAGTTGGGTGTTCTGGCTGCAACTGCAATGTCACATAGCAGTGCGTTCCACAGGTTGTTTGCGCCTTTTGCAGAGACACTCGCCCTGGCTAGACTGTTGGTTTCAGCATCTAACTCTTGAGTCTCTGCATTTTGAGAAGAGTCCTGTTCCTAGAGGATGTAAATTAAACACACACAAAAAAGAATCTCACTTCAGCAGGCAAATGGAAAAGAAAGGCATTTTCCTTGCTGAGGCAGCCCTTTCTGGGGTTTTGCCCACTCTTGAGCTTTTGCGTAGCTCTCTCCCCCTCCCCCCCCCCCCCCCGCCTTTCCTCCGGCCCGTCAGTCACATCCGATAACATATATATTATGGCAGAGCTGCTCTTATGCATTATTCTCTTTTCAAAATGTAAAGAAAGAAAAGGCAGGAGGAAAAAAATTGGCCTATATATTTGGAGAGACATAGATGTATAGATGGGGCCGGAGTAGTTTGAGGCTGGTGATATATACGGAGCCTGAGGGAGCGACACCATTGGCGCTCTGGATTCAATCCAGCAAGTGCCGTCCCACTGGGATCCGCAAGGAAGTTATTGCTCCATTTTGAAGCATCAGGACTGATGGGGTGTCTCGGTTACAGGGTAGACAGATAACAGCAGCCAAAATTGGATTGGTTGCTATTTATTTTTTTTAACTTCTGTCAAGGTCACTACCGTAACAGGAAAACACCAGAAAAGCCGGCCGGTGGACTGCGCTGCCGGTTTCTCAAGCAGCGGCTTCTGCTGCCGCTTTTGCGACAAGAGCCGGTGTGGGCTGTGCTGCTGAGTAGGGGGATCAGACCACGGAGGGTGGTCCAGCTGGTCCAGCGTTCTCTCCCCACCCACCCACAATGGCCAGCGTGACAGTGACAGCCCTCTGCTGTTGCTTCTCCTTGGCACCTTGTCTTAGAATCCGAGAATCATTGAGTTGGAAGGGACCCCAAGGGCCATCTAGTCCAACCCCCTGCAATGCAGGAATCGCAGCAGATTCTTCCAATGGCCCTCGAGGTTTTCAGACCTACACCCTTGTGCAAATTAATTGAAACAAAACATGTTTTCTGTCTTACTCGTAATCCTGTACTCAAACACGAAAAGTCAGTTGGTCATTATGGTGGCGGAAGCCTGCAGCCAACAGAAGGAATGATGCGCTTGCCACAATATATTGAGGTTCTACGAAAGAGAGTTATTCCAGATCTGGAAAAGAGGTATCCTGACGGTACTGGGATATTGCGGCAGGACCTGCCCCCCTGTCACACAGCAAAAGTGGTGAAGGAATTCAGTAAAGAGCAGCAAATACAGGTATTTGATTGGCCAGGGAATTCCCCGGACGTAAAGCCCATTGAGAATTTGTGGGCTATATGCAAGTGTCGCCTCAGTGCTGCAGACGGTATGACTATGGAGAAGCTTATTCAGGCACTGATTCAAGTGTGGTACAGGGATCCGAAAATCAACAGTGACTGCTCGAAACTATTAAACTCAATGCCAAACCGTGTTCAAATGCTGCTTAAAAATAGCGGAGGTCATATCCGTTACTAATGTACGTATATGTGAGTTTTGCACATGTATATGTGAGTTTTGCACAATAAACTACATTGTTTCAATTAATTTGCACAAGGGTGTAGGGCCCATCTTTAACTGAAGCATGCACTTGGGGACCCACTTCTTTATTTTATTTTTAACCGCATACTTGTACAGTGGTGCCTCGCAAGACGAAAAGAATCCGTTCCACGAGTCTCTTCGTCTTGCGGTTTTTTCATCTTGCGAAGCAAGCCCATTAGGGGATTAGCGCTATTAGCGGCCTTAGCGGATCAGCTGATAAGCGGCTTAGCGGCTTGGGGAAAAAGGGGGGGAGGAAAAACCCTGCAGGAACTCTCAAGACATTTTCGTCTTGCGAAGCAAGCCCATGGGAAATTCGTTTTGCGAAGCACCTCCAAAACGGAAAACCCTTTCGTCTAGTGGGTTTTCCGTCTTGCGAGGCATTCGTCTTGCGGGGCACCACTGTATCTTAGATCAGTCGCCTCTCACCCTCCAGCTGAAGGCAAATGCTTTATTTTGAGAAATGCCACTTCATTTCCCACGCATCTGAAGCTGAGGAGCCTTCCCTTCCCCCTTCCATAAATCTCAAGAGATGCTGCTGGAGAGAGAGCGTAGCCACCCAGTTTGGGTAAAGGTAAAGGGACCCCTGACCATTAGGTCCAGTCGCGGACGACTCGGGGGTTGCGGCACTCATCTCACTTTAGTGGCCGAGGGAGCCGACATTTGTCTACAGACAGCTTCCGGGTCATGTGGCCAGCATGACTAAGCCGCTTCGGGCGAACCAGAGCAGCGCACGGACACGCCGTTTACCTTCCTGCCAGAGTGGTACCTATTTACCTACTTGCACTTTGACGTGCTTTCGAACTGCTAGGTTGGCAGGAGCAGGGACCGAGCAACGGGAGCTCACTCCATCGCAGGGATTCGAACCGCCTACCTTCTGATCGGCAAGCCCTAGGCTCTGTCGTTTAACCCACAGCGTATTAGTGGGCTAAATCTCTTAATTTGAGGATCATCAATGCAAGGCTGTGTAGTAGGGAAAGGTCAACTTACTCCCTGCTCACCAGCTTCTTCCCAGTGCCCCCCCAAAAGAGCCAGTGTACCCCTAGGTCTCTCTCTGGCACATAGAGAAGCTGCTCTAGAAGAGAGGTCCCCGGTTCCCTTCTCTTGCGTACTGGTTTTTAACCCCAGAACCCAGTGATGGCACCAGGTTGGATAGCTTTAAAAGTAAGAGCTGTTTGACAGTGGAACGGACTCCCATGGAAAGTAGTGGATTCTCCTTCCTTGGAGAAGCAGAGGCTGGATGGCCATCCATCATGGACACACGTAGGGTAGGGCATTTTCAGCCACCCCAGGCTTTCTCTGTCTCTGTTTTCCTTCCCCTCCCTCCTGGTTTTCCACTGCACTTTAAAATGCCCCCTCTTTTGGAGGGTCTGCGGTGATTAAGCTTTTTTAAAATTAAGTTCCCACTGGTTCATTTTTGTGACCTTTCTCTGCCGCCATGGATGCAATTCTGATTATTTTCCTTGCGTATTCATTTTACATGTGCGTCTGACTCATGGTTCCTAAAAGCATTGGACATTCGGTGGGTTATAAATGTCTTAAAATGGATAAACACGTTCTTCCTATACCCAGCTAACCTCACGGCAGGTGATAGAGAAGCTTGTCGCATGGACATCCTTACAGCATGGATGTTGGGGTATCTTTTTAAGAGAGCAACTTCTTTTCCTTTCCACAGTTCCAGGAAGAGCAGCGCAAGAGGGAAATAGAGGAACGGCGAAGGTTCCCGCTGGAGCAGAGACTCCGGGAACATATCATTGGCCAGGAGAGCGCCATAGCAACTGTTGGAGCTGGTAAGATCTGGGACTCTGATTTGATTAGCCTTCTGCTCTGCAAATCCTGCAGAGAAGCTGGAAGGGGGTTAGTAAGTGTGTGCGCACCCACATGGGTGTGTCACATAAATGCTATGCTATAATTTTATTTAGAACGTGTGTGTGCACAAAACAGTCAGGAATACCTTAAGCTGCAAAGCCAAGAATTCTAGCTTTTAAAAACTTTTATTCTTGTTTGTGGAGTCGTGTTTTTAATTGCTGGGTTTTTTTTTTCCTTTGCCTGAGATGAAATCCAGGAAAATACAAGGAATTTTGTCACCAGTAGAGGTCTGGGCACCATTGTGTGTTGCAGCTGCCTACAGCTGTAGCACATAACCCTGCAATTTGGCATCTGGCACAGAATTCTGACTCCTGAAAATGTCAGAATTCGTATCTGGAAAGAAAAATGGATTTTAGTTCCTAGGATTGCAGGAATAAGCTTGGGAAGTATGTTCCTCGTGAAATCATAGGTGCCACGGGAAGGACAGAGAACCAGGGGCTTCAGTTCCCTTGGTCTGCAAAAGTGGACCAGATAAGAGGAATGAAACAAAAGATGGAGCCATAGCGTGGTGGTGGCCATGATCCTTTGGCCAAAAAGTTGGGGACAATAAGAGTTGGAATCCAGATCCTCCTTAGCATCCTCAACATCCTCTCAAACGGAACCATTTTTTCAGATGATCTTTTAGCCACACTGAATAGAGCAGTATTACTACTGCGCTGCTTGTATTAGGAAAGGAAGCTCCTCTTATTGCAGTGTATAATTGCTTCAGCCTTTCTTGCCATAGCATTACTTGGCTGGCTTTTATTCCAGATTGGAGTTTTTTAAAGCAATATACACACTGCAACCGATTATTATTATTATTATTATTATTAATTTGTACCCCGCCCATCTGGGCGGTTTAAATCTTTCTCTGTGCATCCCACTCAGCTGGTGAGATCAGGGTGTGCATTGTGAGCAGTGCTTTTCCCGCAAGAAAAACAGGCACTGATACTCAGCATGAAGTTATCGCATTAAGTGTTACACTTTTTAACAACAGAAAGAGGTTCCAGTACTGCATACCCTTGAGTACCCCTGGGGGAAGCACTGGTTGTGAGAGACAGGATTGTACGCCGTTTGTTTTAGTGGTATCTCGAGATAGCAAAGAAATAACATTTTTCCTCCCTGACCTGCTAGTTTTCTGTGTGCATGCTTTCTTCTGTTCTGCTTTGTTGCAGGGGGGGAGCGTTCAGTCACCTGAACCTCCCGCTTCCAGGCAGAAGGGGTACAGGGCACGCCCAAATTAGCCACTTTATTCAGAGCTAGGCTTTGTCAGTTTTGCAATCCATTACAAAGTTTCTCACGGGTCGCCTTCCAAGAAAGAAAAACTTTTGTCTCTGGATTGGCCTTCAGAGAATGCGGCAGAGTCACAAATAAAGTTGAAATGTGGGGTGGGTTCCGAGTGTCTGCTCAGCGCATGCCCATCCTGGGGACCCAGAGGGTGCTCCTCTCCCAGATAAAGTCACTCTGTGTCCTGGAGCCTGTCACAGGAGACAGGTCCCCCCTCCAAAACAGAGAGCTCTTTGGAACCTGGGACTGCACTGGGAGGCAGAAACAATGCGAACGACTTCAGGGCCTCGGAAAGTATCTCTCTGCCCTTCTCCCGGAGTCCATTGTGTAGTAAATAAAGAATATTAAAACTCTTTGTCAACCTCCTGTTACTGAAATCTCCCCCTGTTGCGTTCGCGAGACCATTAACGGCGATAAATGGAAGGAAGGGGATGTGGGCTGTTGAAGCCTCTTTTTATATTTTAACTGTGGCCAAAGGCCAGGCTGAGGAGCCCCAGAAGGCAGAAACTGATCCTAAGCATGTCCTAATGGGCAGTCCTGCCCCTGCCTGAGTCATGGATGGTTCACACAACCTACTCCCTGGCAGGAACCATCCTCACAGCTCTGCAGAGAGCCCATCAAAGGCCTCTTTTGGCCTGTTAATATGAGTCATGAAAGACTGGAGGAGGGAAGTTGGGTACAAGTCTGGCTGGCCTTCTCATCACCTGAAATCCCAGCTGCCAGAACCTGCAGCCCTCCAGAGGTTTTGGACTACCTGTTGTAGCAGATTGGGGAAAGCTGAGTTTAATGTAGAACAGAGTGAGCTACGTTAACATGTCACCTGGCTTTGGACTCTTGTCTTGGATGAAATAATAGGAGCTACTCAACATCCCTTCCAGTTTAATGATTTGGGGGGTTGGTGGGGGATAGGCAAGCAAGCTTGAGATGAGCTTGAAAATAAATGGGACAGTGCCTGCGAAACCACTGAAGCTTGATAGAGCCTAAGCGAAGCCCTTCTCGGTGTTGTTGTTGTTGTTGTTTAGTCGTTTAATCGTGTCCGTATCTTCGTGACCCCATGGACCAGAGCACGCCAGGCACTCCTCTCTTCCACTGCCTCCCGCAGTTTGGTCAGACTCATGCTGGTAGCTTCGAGAACACTGTCCCACCATCTCATCCTCTGTCGTTCCCTTCTCCTTGTGCCCTCCATCTTTCCCAACATCAGGGTCTTTTCCAGGGAGTCTTCTCTTCTCATGAGGTGGCCAAAGTCTTGGAGCCTCAGCTTCAGGATCTGTCCTTCCAGTGAGCACTCAGGGCTGATTTCCTTCAGAGTGGAGAGGTTTGATCTTCTTGCAGTCCATGGGACTCTCAAGAGTCTCCTCCAGAACCAGAATTCAAAAGCATCAGTTCTTCGGTGATCAGCCTTCTTTATGGTCCAGCTCTCACTTCCATACATCACTACTGGGAAAACCATAGCTTTTACTATATGGACCTTTGTTGGCAAGGTGATGTCTCTACCCTTCTCGGTAGAGGATCTATATTCTCCGTCGCTGTTTACGCTGCCTCACGGCTGGGATGAGAAGAATGAAATCAGAGGGGAGTGAATATTGATGTGCGGATTTGATAAATTTGAATAATTTGTAATGATCGTATCCTTCATGTTTTCAGTGCATGAGCCTTCCTGGGCACTGCACAAAGATCAAATTAAAGGCCTTGTGCCTTCAGGCAAAAATAGTGCAGAAAGTGGCATTTTTCTGGTTGCAGAATTTGCGTTTGGGGGCAGGAGACGGTGGGATGCTTATGACTCTGGTCATCAAAGCAATTGGTGACTCGTCATTTGGTTTGGCCGCTTGCAGGCAGTGGAGGAGAAACCTGAATGGAGCACTTGGGACACGGCTGAGCAATAGCTGAGACCCCATGAACAGTGGGCAAGGCCCCTCAGGCCCCTTCACGCCTTTGCTCTGCCGCTGCCTCCAGCTTTTTAAGCATCCTTCTGCAAGCGTGAGTTCTAGGGACATAAGAAAGAGCTTGGTTTCTCTAGCATCTGACGGGCCTGGGTGGCCCAGAGCTGTGCTGTAAATGAAGATCGCGGGACGTAGTTTGGGCCTTGGGTTTGGGAGGGCGAGGCTCTCCCCTGCAAAGGCACCACATGTGCACCCTGGTTAGAGAAAGGCTGTGCCTGGAGGCAGCAGCGGGGGCTAATTAGGGAGCTTTGATTAATGGGCAGGGCCTCTCTCTGACACAGGTGGTGGTGGGGCTCGCGAGTGCAGCTGCCTTCATGGAACTTCCCTTTATTGAATTAGGCAGGACCAGGCGCACTCTGCCTCGGGATATCGCGCCAGGAAGGGGAGGCTTGCTGGTGCTTTTGCTGCCGCCTGCGCTGATGGTCCCAACCTGTGAAGCTTTGACGTGGGTGGGTGGGTGGGTGGGAGGGGGTGTTCTTGACACGCATACCCAGTTACTCTGAGTAGCCATTGCCCATCTTTCCAGAGGGGTTGCCAAATGCAGGGCACACTTGGCATACCTCCTGACTGCGAAGCGACTGCTGTGCTCCCGGTCTAAATGCTGCAGCAATGTGCCCCCCACCCCATGCCAGTGCACGTTGGTGTGGGGAGAGGAGTGTCAGGAAGCAACCCTTAATTCAGCTGCTAGCTTGCTAGCTCCTCATGCTCCATCCCAGGACACAGGATGGTTGACAGTTGTCAAGCAAGCATTCTTTGACTTGCGTTTAGGGGCATACCTGGCGCCTGCTTTCTTGCTTCAGTGGGCTCACTGGGACCCAGTTTGAGGAGCCCGATCTGAGGCTCACAGCTTACATTCGGTCTGTTGTCTTCTAGCCGGTTGTCTCGCTGCTTCTGCCCAATGTGGTTGCCCAGGGCATCAACTTTGTTGGCAGAGAGAGAAAGCGCATTCAGGTTTTGGGGGGAGCAAGAGTTGACTGCACGCAACAACAAGAGGATGTTTCCAAGGGATGCCCCAGAATATGAGAACATAACATGAGCGTGCTAGGTCAAGCCAGTGCCCCATCTGGTCCAGCATCCTGTTCTCACAGTGACCAACCAGATACCTCCATGTGAAACCTGCAAGCAGGATCTGAGCATGAGAGCAACTCTCCCTTCCACCAGTCTTGTATTCAGAAGCATTGCTGCCTCCCACTGTGGAGGCAGAGCAAAGCCATCATGGCTAAGTAGCCTTTGACAGCCTTATCCTGCTCCTTAAATCTGCTTAATCCTCTTTCTTAAGCCGTCCAAGTTGGTGGCCATCACGACTTCCTGTGGGAGCAAGTTCCATAGTGGAAAAAGGATGAAGACGAATGGTCAGTAGTGGATGCAGACATTCAAAATGAGCAGCCGCTTGCATAGCTGTGCTGTGTTGCTTTCCCACTTATTTGGTGGGCGTTTTGCTTGTAGTAGGAGCTTGTAGTTGTCTACACTGACTGGCAGCAGCTGTCCTCAGTTTCAGACCAGGAGTCTTTCTCAGCCCTGCCTAGAGCCTGCCAGGTGTCCTTCCCATTGACTTTTGGCTCTTCCCGTAGAGCAGCACGGGGCTTAAAGTTTAGCACACTTTTCTTGGAGCAGAGTGGGAGTGGGCTGGCGGTAGGAATCTGGCCCTGTTTCTGCCTTGACCCCTTTGGCCACCACCTTCCTGCCCAGCCGACCCACATCTGCTCATCGAACTG